GTCTCCACCTGCCACTGGCTGGCTGTCACTTCTGGGCCCATTACCCCCCCCCGCCCCCCGAGTCTCCCAAGGCCTCCGGCTCCCAGCTCCAGGCAGATGGCCTGGGTTTCTGCATCTGCCCTGGGAAATGACGCTACAGCAGGCACCAGAGGCCCCAGGCACAGAGAGGAGGAGGTCCTGATGAGGCTCTTGTTGGCACCCTGACCTGTCAGATGACTCCGGGCTGGCCCTGGGATGGCGAGTGGAACTGGTGGAGCTGGCAGGAAGGGGGGCAGGATTGGTTCACGGTGCAGAGCAGGAGGGGGGGCACATCCTAGGGGCTAGCCCTGGAGTGTAGTGGTCAGCGTGAGGGGGACAGGAGACGCCCTGGGAGCCACGTCGGCCGTGGATGGTCAGTCCTCAGGTGAGGGCCCCAAGGGTCCTGGGAGCTCCCGGGACCCTGAGCTGGGAGACCTCCTGACCCCACACCATTGCCCAAAGTGGGCACCAAGGCCCAGACTTGTCTGAGCGTGAAGATGCAGGTCACGGAAAGCCGGCTACAGTACCCTTGGACTCAGCCGGGTGCTCTGGCCTCAGCAGGCCAGTTTGGGAGAGGGAGTCCCTTGTCAGGCCCCTCCCAGACCCCCGGTCACCCCCTCTTTTGCCTCTCCCGGCAGGATCTTCTCAGCCTACATCAAGGAGGTGGAGGAGCGGCCAGCACCCACCCCGTGGGGCTCCAAGATGCCCTTCGGGGAGCTGATGTTTGAGTCCAGCAGCAGCTGCGGCTGGGTGCACGGGGTCTGCTTTTCCGCCAGCGGCAGCCGTGTGGCCTGGGTCAGCCATGACAGCACCGTGTGCCTGGCTGATGCCGACAAGAAGATGGCGTGAGTACAGGTCACCCGAATGGGGGGCAACCCAGGCACCGAGCACGAGGGGCCGGTGTGGCTGACGTCTCTCTCTCACTCAGCGTCGCGACTCTGGCCTCTGAAACGCTGCCGTTGCTGGCCCTGACCTTCATCACAGAAAACAGTCTGGTGGCAGCGGTAAGGGGGCGCGGGGGCGGGGGAGCAGGGGCCGGTGACAGCAGGTCTCCCAGCGAGCCCCGAGATGCCCAGGCAGCCCTCTACTTGTCCCCCCTTCCTCCTTTCCTTCCTCCCATCCACCCACCCATCCATCCATATCTCTGTTGGCCAAAATAGGTTGGGTTATGCTGTGGTAACAACAACAAAAAAATCCCCAACTGCAGTGGCCTAACACAGTAAAGGTTTGTTTCTTGCTCCCTTTGACTGTCCAGCGTGGGCGCTGTGAGGGGGGCTCTGCTCAGTGCAGATGGGAGCTTTGTCTCCCGTGGAGTGAGGAGGGGAAGTGGAGAACTGGGCCCTGGATCCTAACCTTTCTGCTTACATTTTATTGGCCAATGAAAATGACAGGACCACACCTCCTCACTCAGAGAATGAGTGCTTGTGGGGGAGTGCAGTCCTGTGTGTCCAGAAGGACACTACTCTCCCTCCCTCCTCCTGCCCACCTATGTCAAGGCTCTTTTCAGGCCTCAGGAAACCTAATGGGGTCCCAGAGGGGGATCAGGCCTGCTCTGCCTAGACAAACGTCCAGCTGTGGGGTCTCTCCCAGAGCAGGTGTAACTGTCTAGGCAGGACAAGGCCCCCTGGGCTCCCAGGAAAGTCCCAGACCAGCTTTCTCAACTGAACACTGGCCCTGCTGGCTGAGGGGGCTGCTCCTAGGTGCTCAGCCCCGACATCCAGTCCCTGTTACTACACCTGGGGTCGCCGACTGTGTCCCCGAGCTGGCATCGGCTTCCCTGTGCTACACCCAAGCCCTGCATCCAGCCTCTGGGACCCCCCCGATTTGTGGCCGGGCGCCCCTCGGCGTTGCACCTGCCCTTCGGCCTGGGTTTCCCCGGGAGGAAAGTGGGGGCGCTCCAATGTCACCCCGCCCCTCCCCGCTGCAGGGCCACGACTGCTTCCCGGTGCTGTTCACTTACGACGGCGCCGCGGGGACACTGAGCTTCGGTGGGCGGCTGGACGTGCCCAAGCAAAGCTCGCAGCGCGGCTTGACGGCCCGCGAGCGCTTCCAGAACCTCGACAAGAAGGCGAGCTCGGAGGGCAGCACGGCAGCAAGCGGGGGCCTGGACTCACTGCACAAGAACAGTGTCAGGTGAGAGCGGGGCCGAAGGGCGAGCTCCACACCCACCCAGGCAGCGTCGAGGTGCAGGCCCACTTAGGAAGCTGGTCAGTCTCTTGAGATTTTGCATCAGGTGGGGCAGAGCAGTCAGCCTTGCTCTGCGTTTTCAGTTTTCAGGACGCACTGTGGGACCGTTCTGGGGGGTGGCCGGGCAGTGACTGGAGGGGGGGAGGGGCGGAATGAGGGGTCTCGCAGCAGCCTCCCTGAGGAACTAGAGTGGAACCAGAGCCAGAGACTCCCGGATCCTGCCAGCCACAGGCGTCCACCCCAGGACAAATCAGAGGAAGCGTGGCGAGACTTTGACCTTGCCCCTAGGCTAGTTAAACCCTCCTGTGGCTGCCTGGCCCAACGTCTTCAAACTAAACTCCTCTGCCCGGCCTTCAAGGCTCTTCAGAACTAGCCCTGCATCCACTCAGTGCCATCTTCTGCTTCTTCTCCCCACCGTACTATGCTCCATCACTCTGATTCCCCCAGCATGTGTGCCTTCACCCCCTGCCCAGGCCTTTGTGCGTCCTGTTCCAGCTGCCCGGCTGCCCTGTGCTCCTTGCTCAGGGACTACTGCTCGTCCCTAAAGCAGACTCAGGAGCCCCGTCCTGTTGTCCTCTGTGATCCTTCACAGCCCGGCCTCCTGGGCTGTCCCTGCTGGGCACACACACTCACACTCACTGGGGTGGGCTCCCCCAAAAGTTGGGGAGCTCCTGGAGGGCAGAGTGGGCCGGAGCACGGCCCAGGCACAGGCTGGGATCTGTAAAGCCCTCATCCTCTTTGCAGCCAGATCTCGGTGCTCAGTGGGGGGAAGGCCAAGTGCTCGCAGTTCTGCACTACAGGCATGGACGGCGGCATGAGCATCTGGGACGTGAAGGTGAGGCCTGCCCTCCCCCCACCGCCTCGCTTCCCCGCAGGCCGCCCATTTCTCCCTGGCAGCCACCTGGATGCCCCAGTCCTCCTCCTTCTTTCCCGCAGGGCACTTCAGTGGGGTGAGGGCTCCTTGGCATCTGGGCCTTGGCACCCTCTGCAGCACCTTCCTTTAAGGCTGGGATTCAAACCCAGGTCTGCCTGACCCCAAAGACCAGGTTCTCTGTCCCAGGCCAGGTCCCTGTGGGTGGGGTGTCTGCAGGACAGCTGAGAACCAGCCCATCTTATTTGTTTCCTTCCAGAGCTTGGAGTCAGCCTTGAAGGATCTCAAGATCAAATGACCTGTGAGGAGTCTGTTGCCCTCATCCCAGCTGCTGAGGGAAGGGGGTCAGGGAGGCGAAGGATCGCTTTGCTGAATGTTTCTAGGGTACCAGTTCGGGTCCCCACAGGCTGCTCCCTCAGGTGGGGAGGGGAGGGGAGGGGAGGGGCGGGAGGCTTACCTACTGAAGGAACAATTGCCTTTTTCTTAAAGAAATGCTTCCAATTATTGTAAAAAATGTCCCCAAAGCACTCTGCTGGTCATGAACTGCTTCAAAATGTGGAGGTAATAAAAATGCAACCGTAGCCACGCCGGCCTGTGTGTCTAGAAGGAGAGGTTAGTTTGGGCAGAGCACTGGTAGCTTATTTTTGTTTGCCAGCACAGCTGATCCTTAAACCCAAGAGGCTGCCCCCAAATGGTTCCTTCCCTGCTGCAGTCCAGCCTGGGAGCTGCCAGGACCAGGTGTCTTTTCTGTCACTCATTCAGCAGTCAGATTCCTAGACAAGTGGTTGCACATTGTGGGCTGGTTCTGGGCTTTAGTGGAAACTTATTATTTCTCTATTTGATGTTTGCGGTTGGTTTCTACTAACTGCTCATCATTTTTTAGGACTTTTTTTTTCCTTTCTTTTTTTACTCAGGTGTTTTTTTTTAATCCCGTGTTTTTTTTTTTTTTTTTTGCGGTACGTGAGCCTCTCACCACCACGGCCTCTCCCATTGCGGAGCAACAGGCTCCGGACGCACAGGCCCAGCAGCCACGGCCCACGGGCCCAGCCGCTCAGCGGCATGTGGGATCTTCCTGGACCAGGGCACAAACCCATGTCCCCTGCATCGGCAGGCGGACTCTCAACCACTGCGCCACCAGGGAAGCCCTCACATGCTTTTTAGTTACCTGTTTACGTAACCATGGTTTTTCTTTTAGTCCAACTAGGTAATGAATTACATCAGTAGATCTAATTGTGAACTGTCCTCACATCTTCAGGACAAATGATACTTAAGGAAGCCTCCCCCCCGCCCCACTGTTCTAGGGCCTGTCCCTCAGGATAGTCTCCTCGGTGAGAGGAGACCCACTGATTCTTTTTTAAATCAGGAGATAAAAATTCTCAGTCCCCAGAGACAGCTCAGGCTACACAGCTCCCCTTAGTCTTCACCGAGTCCCTCCCTGCCTGGCGCCCATTCGCCTCTCAGGACCGTGCAGAGGGGACTGCTGTTTAGGAGGCGGTGCCCCTCCTGGAGGGGTGCAGAAGCAGAACAGGCGCCCACGTGACTGTGCTAAGCCTCGGCTTCCCCACTGCCATCCCACCACGAACAAGGTAATGCCTAGCAGTCATGCTGGGTGTTGGGTCCCTTACTCCCAGCCCTGAAATCCTGAGGCTGTCACCACCAGGGGGCACCAGGAGGACAGGACGCTATGTACTGTGCACAGGTCCCTGGCCCCTCTGGCCTAAGGTCCCCGCTTGATTAAAGGAGGGGAGGGGGCTGGCTCCTGTATCCTGAAGTCTCTCCCAGCTCGGATGCCCGGGGTCCAGTCCCTGTACCCGGATTGGTGCCACCCGAACCCTGGGGTGGGCCTGCCTGAGAGTGACACCTTGTTCTGCTGGGTGAAAACAGCCCAGGCATGGGGGCCCAGAGACAGATCACAGAACCAGAATTACGATAATGTCAAGTTTAATTTGCCAAATATACAAGGTGGACTTGTGGAGCATGTTTGCCTGGGGGCTACACAGTAAACAGGTTTCTTGAAATGATCCATGGGCAGGGTTAAGAATGGGCCCGGGCCCTGGCCAGAGTCAGTCGGGGGTAGGGAGTAGGGTGGGAAGGTCAGGAGTGAAGCCTCAGTCAGAGGGGACTGGCTGGGGATGAGCCATGACCCTCAGAGACCCAGGGCCCTGGCTCCCAGGCGACAGCCCCCCAGTTGGGCGCCGGGGCAACACAGACAGGGGGCCGTCCATCACAAACTTGTCAGCAGCTACTGCGGCTCAACCGCCCCCTGCCCCGCAATCGACCAGACAAACGGAAGCTCTTCTTACCCCACCTCCCAGGCACCCCCCCCACAAGGGTTCTGAATTCTAAAAACAGCCAAAACATTCAAATGGTTACATATGAAATGCTGTCCTGCATCTTTCTGTCTCAAAGATAGCAGCTGCCCCTCCCCCCACCCACCATCCCCCCAAACGATTTCTGTGCCAAGATGAAGAGGAGCCGTGGGGGGCTCCTCGCCGCGAGGGGCTGCTGCAGTGGCGCCGGGGCACAGGGTGGGTGAGACACGGCAGAGGTCCTGGCAGCACGGCCCAGTTCCCTGCTATCTCCTCCCACAGGCCGTGCTACTTATTCAGGGAGAGCGACTGCATTCGTTTTCCTGACAAAGCTGCATCATCTTTTGCTGAGGAGCAGGAAGGGAAGGAGTTACAAGACAACACCACCCCTCCACATACACAGCCCGCACACCCCCGAACCATAATACAACTGTAGGTCTGAAAGGCCTCAGACAACATTTTGTGCAACTGGTTCAGCTGGCAGATGAGGAAGCGACCCAAAGAGAAGGGCCCGGACTGACGCCCTCCCCTGGAAGCCACCGGACCCACGTGTCCAGACATTCTCGTGGAGTCTGGGTGGCTGCCCCCTCCACAAAAGCCCACCAACACACAATCTACTGAGCAAATGGAAACTCTTCTTAGCCCACCCCCCAGGCAGAGCCCTGTAATTCCAACCTCTCCCCGTGGATTCTGAAGCCTGCAATCAGCAACATTCAAATAGTTACACATGAGGTCCTTTGCTGCTTGAGGTCTGTGAAAGGAGCTACTAGTGGGAAGTTGAGATTACTGGGTATCTCCAACGTGGTGACAATGCCCTAGGGCAACTGATTTCCCATCTCTAGGCCTAGAAAGCAGGACAGCAAGATCCCAACACACTCATGGCCCCCACAGATGGAGAGAGGAGTGCATGAGGCCAGAAGGTCATGAGTCAAATGCTCCTTTAAAGCAGACCGGTTCCCCACAGCCAACCTGGCCTGGAAGAATCCCTACCACCTTTGGCCCCACTGGAAGGAAGGCAGGGGGGAAGAGGGACACCTGGGCCAGATATCATCTGTGACATCCAGCTGAAATATGAAATGCTGACATATGAAGAGCTACCCCAGGCAGCTCTCCAGGCTACACAAGACACCAGAGACCTTAGGGGAACCTTCTAGCCTCTAAGGTAGGTGCATCCTGAGGCCTCCCTCAGATGCTGTGGACAGTGCTCTGCTGAGATTCAAACTCACATCTGACTCCGCTGCTGCTGGACTCTCCTAGCATCCTGGGAGGTGGCGGGCAGGAACACCCACCTCCATCTGACAGTGAGAAAGGCAGGCAGACAGGCACGCACGTGCACATACACCCACACCGCCCTCCCCCCACACACGGTAGGCCTCTACCGAACAGTCTGACCTCATACCACTTCATGACAAGGACACTGAAGTGCAGGGCTTGGTGGCCTGTCCAGAACCAGTCAGGCTGCCACACCAGCGGCTCAAGACTTACCTTTCCTCTCTTCTTCTTTCTTCCTGGCAGCCTCCTCCCGCTGTTTCCGGATGATCGCCAGCCGGGCAAGGTCAGCCTTGGCTTGCTCCGTCTTCCCCGCTAAATGCATTTTCATGTAACGCTCTTTTGCTTTCTGCTTCTCGATTTCTTCTCTGTTTGGGTAAAATGGTGTCACAGGGGCCATCTTCCCCACCATTAGCAGCTGAGCTGGATGCGGGAGCCAGAATAAAGCCCAAGCACTCAGGCCTGGGCCCTAGCTCCATGTGCCCCCTCCTTGATGACACTCAGCAAACAAGCCAGCAGTGGCTGTCACTCTGCAACCTCAGAGGGAGTTTCACTGGTGAGAAAGAAGCTGCTGGAAGGGGAGACTCTTCAGCAGCCTCCAATCACACCCCAAGCTTGTGGGCCTTCCCCACGGGGTTTTCAGAGACCCCCCTCAGCTGTCACAGAGTCAGCACAGCAAGGTGGATTTAAATCAAGCAACCCAGTCAGGAGAGAAATCAGGGTGGCTTTTCCTAGTAGCTTTCAACCTCCTATAAGGCCCTTGGTCACCTGGTGGCCATGAAAAGTCAGGGAACAACTTGTTAAAGACCAGCTGTGTGCAGGGCACTGTAGCACTTGGTGTGATCCTTGCACAGCCTGTGAGCGAGCTCTCTGCAGCTCCATTTTCACCTGGGACTCAGAGAGGACTGGGGCAGCTGGTGGACCTCCCTGCACAGTGCTGGACGGCACGGGTCCCCAGTCCCCTCCCAATCCCTATGGCCACAACATCAGGGATGGATGCAGGCCAAGAAGGGTCAGATCAGGCTGGATAAGGGAGGTATCCCTGGAGTGGGGTGCCCTGGAGGAAGGGGCTACAGCATAATTTCTGTTTTTCCTGCTATGCTTCCACTGGGGGAAAAAATTCTGTTTTCTGCTTTGTTTTGTGGGGGAGAAGCTTCTATAGGGCCTTTGGGAGAATGAGATGACAGAGAAATAAATACCGGAGCCAGAGCGCCCACCAGCCACTGGGGACCTCAAGAGCCCAGGAAGCAAGGGCAGAGGAGCTGGGGGCCTCAGCCCCGGGCCCAAGTCACAAGGCTCAGAAGCAGAGGTTACCTTTCTCTCCTTGAAAGTTCCTTGGGCCCATCCAGGTCCAGCTGTGTGACCTTTTTGGTTGTCTGTGCCACCCGGTTGGGGTTCTCAATGTCAATGAGCCCTTCTACACCTTTGCGCTTTTGCTAAGATAGGACAAGAAGCCGGCTGTCAGAGAAGTTTGGCCTGCAGAGCCCCTGAAGGCCACTCCCCATCTCCACATCCTCCTGGACTAGGACAAACTCCCGCTCCACCCCCAGGCCACGTGACTCCTGGCCCAGCCTCACGGTGGGAACAGTGCTTGGGTGTCTTCACCACCTGGGGAGATGCAGGGAGAGCGAGTGCGGGTGACCAGAGCCCATCCTGTGCCTAGTCCCGGCCACCAGGGATCGTTATCCTAGTTTCACAGGCGGCAGAGGCCAACTCACAAGCTCTCAGCACAGAGAGTTACTCCCTCACTTCGAGCTCAGCCTCTGAAAGCAGTTTTCCATGGAACGCCATGCCTGACTGCAACAAGCCATGCTGGATCCCCACAGCAGGGTGGGCCAATCCCTAGCCATCCGGGTGACGGCGGGGAAATGGGACTTGGGAACGAGTCACACAGTCTACAGGTTTGGGGAGGCGGCACAAGAACCTGGAGCTCGCACCTCCCACCTGCCCTGGGGAAGTTCAGAAAGAAGTGAGAGCACAAGTGCTAGGCGTAACAGGTTCGATCAAAGTTTCAGGCCCTGTCAACCCAGCTTTTCTCTTTAAAAGACCAGGGAGACAGCTTCCAAACACCAGTTAATCTGAGCACTGCACGGGGCTCCAGGCACCTCTACCCAATCGGCTACACATTTACACCTCCACCCAGATACCTGACATCACAAATTTAACTTGTCTGAAACAGAACTGGAGACTCAGCCCTCACCCACCCCGTTCCTCCCAATCCTAAGGACAACCTTGTTTTTCTTTCCCTCAGCAAACCCCAATGAGTCTACCTCTAAGACATGGCTTGAATCTGCCCACTCCTCTCCACTGCCATTGCCACCAGCCTAACGCAGCCACAATTTCTCATCTGGATACCTGCTGCCGTCTCCCGGCTTCCACCCTCAACACCTTACAACTCACTCTCGGCAGAGGAGCCAAAACAATCTTTTAAAAGCAAATCTGGGGGCTTCCCTGGTGGCGCAGTGGTTAAGCATCCGCCTGCCAATGCAGGGGACAGGGGTTCGAGCCCTGGTCTGGGAAGATCCCACATGCCGCAGAGCAACTAAGCCCGTGCGCCACAACTACTGAGCCTGTGCTCTAGAGCCTGTGAGCCACAACTACTGAGCCTGTGTGCTGCAACTACTGGAGCCCGTGCACCTAGAGCCCATGCTCCGCAACAAGAGAAGCCACCGCAATGAAAAGCCCGCACACCGCAACGAACAGTAGCCCCCGCTCGCCGCAACTAGAGAAGCCCACATGTAGCAACGAAGACCCAACATGGCCAAAAATAAATAAATAAATAAAATCTATTAAAAAAAGAAAAAAGCGGGCTTCCCTGGTGGCGCAGTGGTTGAGAGTCCGCCTGCCGATGCAGGGGACACGGGCTCGTGCCCCGGTCCGGGAAGATCCCACATGCTGCGGAGCGGCTGGGCCCGTGAGCCATGGCCGCTGAGCCTGCGCGTCCGGAGCCTGTGCTCCGCAACGGGAGAGGCCACAACAGTGAGAGGCCCGCGTACCGGGAAAAAAAAAAAAGCAAATCTGGTCATCTCTGTCTCCTACTTCAAGGCCTCTGCCAGCTGCCCACTACCTACCACAATGAAACCAAAACCCTTCAACAGCTGCACAGGAGCTGCCCTTGCCAACCTTTCCTCCTTCATTCCTCACCACTCCACTTTGTACCAACCAAGTCACAGCCCCACTAGCCTCTCTGTTCCTTGAACTTGCCCAGGTTGTTCCCAGGGCCTTTGCCCTTGCTAACCTGGCTGCCTCGACTACTCTGAACAACAGTTTTCACACAGCTGGCTCCACCTTGCTTTTCAGATCTCAGTTTAAAAGTCACCTCAGCACACACTACTCCAAGTACCCTCGATCACGGTCTGTCTTATTCATAATACTTCTGGCTGCTTGAAATCATACTGTTCATTCATTCCTTATCGTCTGTACCTCCCTATTACAATGTAAACCCTGAAGAGCAAGGACTCTGCCTGTACTACTGGGACGGGTAATGTTTGCTGAATGGATGAGTCTAGGTCCCAGGCCCCCCTCAGACTCAGTACCTGGTAATCATCTTCTTCATCCTCGCTCTCATCTGAGTCTAGGGATTTTTTCTCCTTTTTGGGGTCACCTGCAGCCCCATCTCCACCTTCTTCTCCTTGTTCCTCTTCTTCCTGTTTCAGAAATGGACAACGTGAGGTATCAAAAATGCAAAACAAACCCCCAAGACTGTGATCCAGCCGCCACCACCCCCAGACTGTGGACCTTGAGAAATCAGGCCCCCAGAAGGCTGCAGCCAAGTATGATTAGAGCCCCACTCTGCCATGCTGGCCTCCAGTGGGGGACCTGTGTCAGAGGCAGCCTCTCCACTAGGCTCCACAGCCTGGAAGCCAATTCCAGTCCAACCACCACCTCGTACAGCCATAAAAGGCCCTGCTCCTCTTCTCAGCCCAGGTACCTCAGACAACCAGGGTGAGCAGCTCGTCTCCTAGGGTCCAAAGGACGTGGCTGTGGGGCTGGAAAGCACAGGCCTGCTCAGCTTCCCTCCCGCTCTCCCTGCTTCCACGTGGAGCTGCCAAACTGTCCTTGCTGTCCTGGGCAAGGCCCCCTGCTTTCCACTCTCCGTCAGTGGCGGGCCAGCCACTCCAACCTGCCCACACAGAGGCCCGGCTGTGCCAGCTTCCCATGACAACACGCCGACAGGACGCTTCCCTCTACCTTTCTTGCCTCCCAGCCAAAAACATCCCTTACAAAAACCATATGACCTTTGCCCCTTAGCACCTGCCCGCACACTCTCCAAGGTCCTGGTCAGCCTCTGGTTCCTCCACCAGGCCCTCCCCACCACCCCACGCCACCCTACGCCCCTCTGATGGGCATGAAGTGTCAGTCTCCCTGACACTTCACAGCCGTGCCCCTCATCCAGCCTGACTGTGCTCCCTTTGGCCCTTAGCCAGGTGAGGATCTAATGGTGTGGTAGGGACATGGACACCAACAATGGAAACACGTTCTGTTTCCTGACAGTGGGCTGGAAAAAGGACTGGGGGAACAGAATAGAGGGACCGCCTAAGCTTCGACCGGAGGGGGAAGGGTGGGAGTCACGGAGGAGGGGATGCTGAGCAAGGTCTGAAGGAACGAATGGCACTCTGCCTGCTGGGGGTGTGGGAAGGCAGGGGCATCATGTCACAGCAGGGCTGGCAGCAGTCCTGCATGGCTGGAGCACACAAGTAGGGGTGCCGAGAGCCCGAGCTGCAGACGGGCAGAGCTGGGCGAGGGAGAGAGGAACAGGAGCAGGAACACAGGACCACAAACGGAGACCCACCAAGGCACTCGCTGCTGAGTGGACAAAGTTCTAACTGATCCAGTCAGAGGCTGGCTCTCCTCCTGACTCTCAGCGGTTGCTCTGGGACTCCCATCTGCTACCTGCTGCCTGTCCCCTCCAATCGAACCTCAGGTGTTAGCTGCTTCTTGAGAATGGGTGGTCCTTGCCTGGCCTCTCCGGGTGCCAAAAGCGCAGGGTGCCGCCCTGGGCTACTGGAGTGGCCCGGACAGGCACATACTCACCCTGGCCTTCTGCTTTTCAGCCTGGAGCTGTGCGTCGATCTCCTCGGGGCTCGTGTACTGCCTTGCCCGGCCTTTGTGGCCTCCCTTTCTCCCTGCACAAGGATTGGCAGTTTAAGAAGGTGGGAGGGAAGCAGCTTCCTTGATTGCCCTGGGCCCCAGGCTGTGTGCTGCTTGAGGTGCTCTCAGCAGAGGCTGCAGACCTCAGGTACCCCTCACCAAGCACCACCCAAACCTGTACCCTTATGTGTTCAAAGGGACAAAAAAGGAAACACACAATCACCTGATGCAGTACCAAACCATGTACTGGATGTAGGCTCCCACAAATAAGACCTGAGGGGAGGATCTGGGGGAGGGTGCACCACATGGAGTGACTGGCTAAATCCCCTGGTCCCTTTATCCAAACACAGTGGACTCAGATGCAATCATGAAGAACATGTAACACTCGCCCCTGCTGTCACAACAGTGCTCTTTACTTGCAATGTTCTGTCATAGCTATGGGCTCATTTCATCCCCAGATTAAACCTATGGCACACAATCACGGCTGGTCCCACTTTATAGACAAAGGAGACTTGAGAGTAAAGCAGAGTGGGGAAGAGCACAAATGTTGGGGTCCAATCCTTGAGTTCAAATCTCAGCTCTACCACTTAATAGCTCTGTGACTTCGGGCAGGTACTTAACCTCTCAGAGTCTCAGCTTCTTCGTCTGTGTCCCTACCACATAGGGTTGTTGTGAAGATGGATTTGTTAACATATGTAAAGATGTTGGCACAGTGCCCGGCACTGGACAAGCACCACAAAAATGTCTGCTATGACTGGTAGTCTTCTAATATAGCACCTGGTGTGGAAAAAAAACAAAGCCACTGGTCACATCGGCGATTTACTACAGGTGTCAGGGAATATAATAAGATACTTCACGTTCACCTAAGTCATATGTATGGTAGAAAGAGAAAACTTAAAACCTAGAAAGGAAAAATTTCTCATGCTTGGACTAAGAAACACAACTGGCAAACAAAGTTATCTAAAGTTGAAAATAAAACTGACTACCTTCTAAGAGTAAAAAATGTGACTAGCAATTAAAGTTCATCACAGATAATCAGTTTTACAGTCTGACCCTCTTGAGCCAAGACACTAGACTGACCCCTGCTAAAGCCATCAGCCAGTTTTACAGAAGGGTGGCACCCCCTCAGCTGGTCCTGGAGAACGCTGGGGTGGCTGTGGCCTGGATCCATTTCCACCTCTCCTGGAAGCTGCAGCCCACCAGGTATCTCGTGACTCTCTCACTGAGAGCAGAGAATCTGTAATTAGGCAGCCAGAGCTGCTCTGGACTCCAGAGCCAGTAGCAGAGATACTGGCGTCCCATGATTTCCTAAACAGCAGCTGCAGAGCCATAACTGGGCTGCTGCAGACCACACCACTCATTTTTAATGACTACCCAGGGTTCCCAGGGGTGTCTCAGTCTATGTTCATCAAAGTCCTACTGTGAGAGATCAAGTTTGCCATCCAAAAAGTCAACATCTTTTCTTGCCCTCTTAACACTCTAAGTAACAGGAACAACTCAAAATTGACTACTATAGGTTCTCATCCCCCACGCTTGGCTATGCGATAATGATCTTAGCTTGGTCTACAGTAACTCTTATCAGAAGCTTTCCATGCCTTTAAAAATGCTTCACAGGGGGCTTCCCTGGTGGCGCAGTGGTTAAGAATCCGCCTGCCAATGCAGGGCACACGGGTTCGAGCCCTGGTCCAGGAAGATCTCACATTCTGCGGAGCAATTAAGCCCGTGCACCACAATTACTGAGCCTGTGTGCTACAACTACTGAAGCCCGCGTGCCTAGAGCCCGTGCTCCGCAACAAGAGAAGCCACTGCAATGAGAAGCCCGTGCACCGCAACGAAGAGTAGCCCCCGCTCGCTGAGACTAGAGAAAGCCCGCGCGCAGCAACGAAGACCCAACAGAGCCAAAAATAAATTTTAAAAAAAGCTTCACAGGTTTCATAACAGAAACAAAAGTTGGTCCTTGGCTCTTGGAGAATTCTCTTGGAGAATTTTATACTGTTACTTACATCTTCATGTTCTCTCTCTCTCTCTCTCCCTTTTTAAAATATTTATTTATTTGGCCGCGCTGGGCCTTTAGTTTCGGCATGTGGGATCTAGTTCCCTGACCAGGGATTGAACCGACCCCCTGCATTGGGAGCGCAGAGTCTCAGCCACTGGACCCAGGGAAGTCCCTTCATGTTCTCTTTTACTTTTCAAGCAAATTAACACAAGCAAGAAATGTAAACCTTATCTGCCCATAAAGCTTTCACAAGCCAAAAAGCCAAGTCGTTTAAACAAGAATCCATATTTAGGATTTTCTCATTGTAACCTCCAACCTTGGCTCAAAGCATCTATTAAGTAGGACTCTTAGAACCAGAATTCTGGAGCCAGAAGGTACCCTTAGTATCCCTCCTTCTGCAGAACAGGAGACTGGGGAACACAGAGAAGACAAGGCTTTTCCTACCACAGAATAAACCAATACAGACCTAAGTTTAAAGAGATTCAGCTCTGTAAACCCTGTGGGCTGACGCATCTTAACCAACGTAACACACGAGCAACCAATATCAACGGAACATCTGTTCTGCGCCAGGAGCCAGCCAGGCACGGCGAGTGCTCTAGTTTTACGATCCCGACCGAACTCTCCAAGCTAAGAGTTATTTCCAGATGAGGAAAACAGGCTGGAAGAAGTTAAAGAACTTGTTCAAGGCCATAAGGTTAGACAGTGACACAGCTGGGCTTCGGGTCGAGCACTATTGACCTTAAGGGGGAAGCAGATAGAGGATGGTCTACAACGTACTGGGAAGCCATGGATCCTTTACGCTCCTGGCCAAGGAACTGGCAAAGTCTAACGACTAACAGTAGTTAATTATTACTGGGCACTTAGCGACTATCCAGCACCGCGATGCACTCTCCACATGGGTTACCTAGTTAAAACCTCGCGTCAGTATTGTGAGGCAGGTACAATCACAACCCCACCTGCAAGTGAGAAAATTAAGACTCGGGGAGGTTAAGCGACTGGCTGAAAGGCACACATCGAGCCGCTCGAATAGGGCAGTCAAAACTAGGTCGGCCAGGCTGAAGAGCATCAAGTTAGGTCGCAAGAGGCAGGCCTGGCTCGCCCAGAACCCAGGAGGACGCACGTTTTACGCGCGAGGCAGGCGGGTCCGGCACTGGCGCGCGAATGCGGTGACTCAGTCCCCGGCGAGCCTGAAAGTGGGAGGAAACTTCAGAGCCCCCAGGCCGGGAGAAGGGCGCCCTAGATAGGCCTTCCGGATCGCCAAGGACCCAGAGCCTCCGAGTCTCCTCAGACCCCCGAGGGAGTGGCTCGAGGCCACCACGCTCTTCAGTTTCCCCAGCGGGACAATTGGGCTTCGAGGCCCAGGCCTGGCCCTCAGTCCGAGCAGACGTCCTCCCTCTGTGCCGCCCTCCGAGGCGCCCGCGGGCTGAGTGGACAACAGGAGCTGGACTCTGGCTGCTCCTCGAGGCCCGCGGGCCACACGCGCCCGCCCCTCACCTCCTTTAGGCATCGCGGCTCCGGCGGCTGCAGCGGCGGCGCCTCTAACTGACACCGGAACCGGAAATACTTCGGGCTCGACTTCTTCCGCCCGACCAGTTCCCCTCTGACCCCGTCCCCACTCAGCCAGCCGACGCCTCCGACGTCGGCGCCGCTAGGACCGGGTACCTCAGTGAGGCAGGACTGTCCCACGCACCGCCTGAGCCTAGGCTCGCACGCGCGCTGCTGGGCAACAGAGCCCCCAGCCCCGCTCCGGGGGAAGCGCGTAAGCCTGCCAGTCACCCCCCGGGAAGTGAGGGCAAAAGGCGACAGTGGCTCTGGAATTCTGTACAGGCAGAGCTGCGGACACCTAAGATAACGCAATTTCTGCGCTAGGTGGGGCGGGGCTCCGCGAGGACCTCATGCTGAAGGGATAAGTTGGGAAGCGGAGGCAGGCGATAGAGAAGGGGCGTCCGACGGCTACTGAGGACGTGGTGAGTGTTTCTCGTCTGTTTTCGAGTAACTTGGTGACTGCTGGGGCCAGGGATCGGAGGTCTGCATTGGCTCAGAAGGGCGATCTGAACAGCTGAACTGGGACGGGTTCGGGCCTCTGGACCGGGAGGTCGAAGTGAGTTCCAGAGAGGAGGCGGCGCTTTGCTCGTTCGGCCGAAGGGATGAGAGATTTGGGGGGTTCCCTTGCTTCTAGGCTTTTCTCCCCCTTTATTTTCCATGCTTTTTTTTCTCCGCCTGGAACTTTTTTTGTCTAAATATTGCGTGTTCTCGTAAGCCCCGTTCAGATGCAGCCGTGTCTCTGAGCCTTTCCTACAACCCAGGCTGTAACGTCTTCCCTCCCTCCGAACGCCTTTCCGCTCGCCGCCTCTTCCGAGCGCTACCACCTCTCTTATACGGCCCCGCACCTCTTCTCCTTGATCTGGTTACTTCTTAGCTGTTAACCTCCCCTGGGACGCCTCCTGTGACTCCCCGGCTGGGCCAGGCCCTCGAATCTCCCTGGGTCTTAGTAGAGTGGTCATTCCCGTGTCTTTGTCCTCCCAGCCCTTGCGCGTTGGGACAGGGACCAGATTCCATCCGTCTCTAGCTTCATAGCAGGGTAGACAAGTGCAAAGACCGCTGATTTGGGAGTCAGGAGCCCCCGATTAGAGTCGGACTCTTCCAGTTCCCAGCTGTGTGCGACCCTGAGTTTACCTCCTGTAGTTTGATCTTCATCTGTAAGGTTGTTACGGAGAATTCATGAAAGGGAGGGGCGGGGCTTCATCAACTTGTCAGGCCCCCTACAGCGGGGAGGAACTCAATGAACTTGGAAGAGAGGAGTCTGCTATGCTTAAAGATGAGATCATTAACCTGAGTTCTGTTTGCCACCTAGGAAATGCTATGCGGTTTGAAAAATGACTTGCTATGTAGATTTGCACTGGTCTGTCGTTGGGCTTTACATGACTTTCCTTTATGTAGTATGTTTGTTGGGTTTAAGAGACTTTGGCCATCCGGCTAATACACTGTCCTCGTCTTATAGACAAGATTGAGGACCAGAGAGAGAAGGTGACCTCTCCAAAGTCACAGCTGGCCAAGAACCTAAGCCTGTAACTGAAGAGACCAGAGATCCTTCTTTCTGCTACATACACTCTTGGGAAACAGACCCTAAGGTACTTTGGTTTCACACTGTCTTTATCCTTTTTAAACACTCATCTTCTTTGCTTTCCCAACCATAGTCTTCCTCACACTGTGTTGTAATTCCCTTTTCACTTTGTATTTCCTTGCTAGAATATCACCTTCTCAGGGACAGTGTGTGTCCTATTCCTTGTTCTATGTTCTCAGTACAGGGACAGGCTCATAGCTGATGTCAGTTAATGATAACAGCAAAAATCTAGTAAGCACACATTAAATGCCAGGCATGTTACATATAATTATAATTAATCTTCACAATGGCCCCATAAGTAGATTCTATTATCCCCCCTTTACAGATGAGGAAACAGATTTAGGGACGTGAGTGTGCACCAGAGTTGTGGCTTGTGAAGTCTTTTGGGGACCTGAGGCTCAGCAACCAATTCTTTTAATTTTTTTCCCCACAGATCCTTGCAGATTATCTTCTGGGGAAAAAATGCCTAAAGTCAAAAGAAGCCGGAAAGCTCCCCCAGATGGCTGGGAGTTGATCGAGCCAACATTGGATGAATTAGATCAAAAGATGAGAGAAGGTGAGTCTAGGAGTTCCTGTCTGAGTGGGCTGTGTCCAAGGGTCACAGGCTTACATGCTTCAAGGGGCCAGGCATAAATGCAAGGATAAATGAGAAGAGACAGGCTGTACCACTGTGGCCTCCTGACACTGACATGTTTTGTTTGCTTATTAACTGATAGGAATACTATAAATGCCAGAAAGTAAGATGATACAAATGAAAAGGTCCTCAAAAATGTTTTTGAATATAAGAGCTTTAGGGAGTATAGATCAAGTAGTCTACCTATAATTATTTGCTGTGTTGGTTAGAGGTATATTTAAAATCATACAAAATATATTTACTTGGGAAATCCTGTTCTTTTTCACTTCCAAATTTTCTGAAACATTTTTATTTGGATTTTTCTTATGAGTCTCTGTTTTCATCATCACTTTGTTTTTGCATCATCTACCAGTTTTCCAGAATGCACCATCTTCACTTCCCTCTAAATGTTGTGTGATCCTGCACTTTGTGAGTCAGTGTAGTGTGCAGTTTTGGGAAATTTTATCTGAAGCCACAAGCATCTGTTGGCCCTATCACAGTATAACCACTTACTGAATTGCTTTTTTTTTTTTTTTTGTGGTACGCGGGCCTCTCACTGCTGTGGCCTCTCCCGTTGCGGAACACAGGCTTCCGGACGCGCAGGCTCAGCGGCCATGGCCCACAGGCCCAGCCGCTCTGCGGCATGTGGGATCCTCCCGGACCAGGGCACAAACCCGTGTCCCCCGCATCGGCAGGCAGACTCTCAACCACTGCGCCACCAGGGAAGTCCCTGAATTGCTTTTTAAAGCAATCTTTTTTTTTTTTTTTAAGGTTTTTGCTAATTAATCTAACCTTTGTTATTATGAAGCCATACCTCTAGCAATAAGTAGTGAGTGTTAAGTTACTTTGCTTCCTTCGAAGCTGACTGTATCAGGTAACTTCTATTAAATACCCAGAACTTGCAGTAATCAGGTCATTTTGGGCTGAGAGATTTCTTCCCCAAACAGATCTTTATTCAACATAAAGGAACTTAGAGATTGCTGTAATAGAAGAGATTTTTGTGAGTCCTTGCAAATAAACCTACTTCCTCTTTTTAAGGGGTGACTTTTTGGAGGGAGAGCATTTAGATGTATGTGATATTCTTTACCGTCAAAAGAAGTATTCCTTCTCTTGTTTTTATTTAAGCATATAGTTCTTCTCTGCTTTCCCATTTTTGATACACAGATTTTAAGACCTAGTTTCATGTTGCTCTCGCTTCCACTATAAAGAAAACAGAGTGGATGGCAGGTGGTACCAGAGCTGGCTTTAGTGTTGGGAACAATAGGGAGCTCTGGGGGTGGGGAGAAGCTGCTACTCACCCAGGGCCATTTACCATGTGGGATGCAGCCTCAGCTTTGCCAGATTTGCTGAGTGTTTTTCTTTTTCCAAGATAAGCAGAAATTCAGCTTTTCTGTGTGAAGTCTTCTAATTTAAAATTCAAACTTAAAAAAAAAAGTGTCTGTGGGAGGAGCCAAACAAAGCCAGCCTTCAGGCTGGTGGAGGCTGCCAGCCTCCAGTTTGTAGCCTTCCGCACAAGTTTTGCCTGTGGGATCTGTGGCCGCACTCCTAGGCCATGGAGGAGCCTTGGGCCCACAAAGGCCCAAAGCCAGTGGCATTGCCAGGCCTGTCCTTCTGATCTGAGGGCCATTTACAGGACAACTCACACTTATTGAAGCAGTTGGTCCTCTTACCTTAGGAAGGAAAATTCCTGTTTTCTCCTAGTTTGTCCCTGTTACTTCCTAGCCAGCACAACTGCCCAGCTCTTTGTATGTTTCTTAGCTTGCTACTCAAGTTTTTGTATAGCCACTGTTGCCCTGTAAGTCCCCAAACAAAAAGAGCCTGATTATAGGGACTATGGGGCAGAGATGGGGGAAGTTATGTGTGGCAGGGGTTTTTATGGGTGACTGAGAAATAAAGGCGCTATCTCCATGGACTGTAACCAGGACTTATAAATAACTTTGCTTTTACAAGTACTTTAAACTAATTGAAATTTGAAGTTAATAGACAGTTTGGGGCATTAGCAAAGAGGCAGAAACCTAAGTCTCGTCTGTGCCACAGTGTCTCCTACCTCTAGCCTCTTTTCATACCCTCCTAGTGGCAGGACTCCACATCGCCCACTGAAAGCTGCCTTCTACTGTGTGTGCGAACCTGTACAAAATGATATCCAAGAATGTTCACATGAGCTTGTGAAAATGGGTCCAAAAAGAAATTTTTAAAATGTGGGTGATGCTACAATTAAAATGTTGAGAGATGACTCAAAAGCACAGGAAGGTTCCACGTCCAGGATGGCAGCCTGAGGAGCTCCATGGCCCCCACCCCCCTTCCTTCAGTCATCCCATCTAGTCACGTGGCTTTCCGAAACACTCTCGACTCCGATGAACAAATGTCTTCTCCAGCCTTGACTCAACACTAGAAGTTTCATTTTAAAATACTCCAGTTCCCCCAACTCCTAAAAGTAGGGAGAACCAGATAAAATACAAATAGCTGAATGTTAATTGTTGAAGCTGGGTGGAAGGTACTTGGGAGTTCAGTATACTGTTTTCTTTTGTGTATGTTTGAAGTTATCCTTATTGAAACCTTAGAGAATTCACGAATCTAAAATCTGTCTCCTTTTAGCCCCTCCACCCCACCACCTGGTCCAGGCTACCCTCACCTGTCACCTGGGTGCCTGCAGCAGCCTCCTGCTTCTGCTTGCCCTGCAGTCTTCTCCACGGGGCCGCCAGGGTGAGGGCTTTAGGTTGTACATCAGATCACATCATCATCTGCTCAGGACCCTGCGGTGGTTCATTCCCCTACCAGAGCAAAATCAAGTCCTTCTGTGGCCTTCCAGGTCAAGCACACTCTCTCCACACCCCTTGAACTCTGTCCCCTACCCCCCACCTCCCCCAGCCCACCAAGCCCCCAGCCACACTGCTGTCCCTTGACTCCCAGTTACAGTCCCACCTCAGGGCCTTTACATTGGTGTTGGCTCTGCCTTGTACACGTTTGCCCCTCTTCTCTTTTTTTTAAAATTGAGATATAATTGACATACAATGTATTGTTTTAGGTGTACAACATGATTTTATATATGACTATATTGTGAAATTATTACAAGTTTCGTGAACACTCATCACCTCACATAGTTTTCTTATAAGAACTTTTAAGATCTACTTTCATAGCAACTTTCAAATATACAATACAGTATCATTAACTTTATAGTCACCATGCTATAGATTCCCCAGGACTTATTTATAACTGGAAGTTTGTACCCTTTGACCACCTTCACTCATTTTGCCCACCCCCCCAGCCCACCTTGCACGTCTTGTTTCTTAAGGTCTCTGAGCGGATGTCTCCTTTGATGACTAGTATGAAGTGGCAGTCCCCCTCTTTCCCTGCTCGCCATCCCCTTCCTTGTTCCCTTCTTTTCTGTGGCCGTTACCACTTAACCACCAGGGGCTGATCTGCTTCCTTCTCAGATCATGGCTTTGTGGTTTCTGTGTCTTGCCCACTGCCATATCTTGGGCACCTGGAGCATGGCCTCGCCCATAGCAGACACGCAGTGTTGCTGAGTCCTCAACACCTGCCTTTGACTTGGATCACAGAATCCTGTTTATTGAGCTGAATTACAAATTCTAGGTAATAGAACAGCCTCGGTGTCGGAGAAATGGAGGTATAGGTTTCTTAACCCTTCTCACCTTTCTCCTCTGCCCTAAAAACCAAGAAGAGGTGACAAAGATCAGCTTGTAACGCTAAGAGAAAGACTTGCCTTTTGGCAGGTGCAAGCTGCTACCTGATCCTACATGACTTGATGGAGCCATTATTTCCTGCAGGCTCGCCATGCTAAGAACTTTCAGGCTTGTCTTTTTCTTTTTTCCCTAAACAATTTTGGTTGGGAAATGAAATTAGCGGTGCCTTAAAAGATTATTAGAATGCCCATCTGAAGGTCCGGAATTATCTTGAGAAATTATTATGCTGGAGAAATAGGTCTGGAAGGATAGAGACCCGGGTATTAACAGAGGTTGTCTTTGATTTTTTAAAACCTTTGCTTTCTAATTTATCTAATTTAAAAGGCATTTTTAATTTAAAGCAATTAATGTTTAAGTCATGGGGCTTACCTTTTGCTTCATCTTTAAAAAAAAAAAACAGCCCTAATGAGCCATAAATCATATGCTGTAAAATTCAGCCTTTTAAAGTATTCAGTTAAGCAGCATTTAGTGTGTTCACAGAGTTAGGCAACCATCACCACAGTCAGTTTTACAGTATTTATCACCCTGCAGAGAAACCCCATCCCCTTTAGCGGGGGTCTCCCTCTCCATTTCCCCGTGTCTCCCTGATCTAGGCAACCACTAATCTACTTCCTGTCTGTATAGACAAAGTCATACAATAGGTGGTCTGTGAGGACTGGTTTCTTTCACTGAGCATAATGTGTTCAAGAGTCATCCATGTTGTGGCATGTGTGAGTACTTCATTACTTTTTATAACTGAAAAATATTCCAGCATGTGGATAGATTACATTTTAACCATTCATCAGTTGATGGACACTGGGGTGATTTCTACATTTTGGCTACCACAAACATTCATGTACAGGTTTTTGTGTGCAAGCGCATTTTCAGTTCTCTTGGGTATATACCTAGGAGTGGAATTGCTGGGTCATGTGGTTACTCTGTTTAACTTCCTGAGGAATTGCCAGACTGTTTTCCATAGCAGCTGCATCATGTTACATTCCCACCAGCAGTGTGTGAGGATTCTGATTTCTCCACATCCTCACCAATATTTATTACTGTCTTGTCATTTTGATTATAGCCATCCTAGTGGGTACAAAGGATTTATTCTTTATCCCTACTTATTAAAAAAATAACACTATATCCTATGCAGACTACCCTATCCCCCAAAAAACAAACACATGTGTTTTCTCTCCAGCTGAAACAGAACCTCACGAGGGAAAGAGGAAAGTGGAATCTCTGTGGCCCATCTTTAGGATCCATCACCAGAAAACCCGCTATATTTTTGACCTCTTCTACAAGCGAAAAGCCATAAGCAGAGGTAATTGGCCAAATTCTCTCTTGACGCTTCCCAACTTGAGTAGCTTTCAGATTTATTTAATTCTTGAAACCTCAGCAAGTGTCATGATGTTTCTTACCACCAAAAAAAGGAGAGGGGCCAGGCCAATATTGGTTAAATACTTTTTTTTTTAAATTTTTGGCTGCGTTTGGTGTTTGTTGCTGTGCGCGGGCCTTCTCTAGTTGTAGCGAGCGGGGGCTACTCTTTGTTGCTGTGCGTGGGCTTCTCATTGCAGTGGTTTCTCTTGTTACGGAGAATGGGCTCTAGGTGCGCGGGCTTCAGCAGTTGTGGCTCGCGGGCTCTAGAGCACAGACTCAGTAGTTCTGGCGCATGGGCTTAGTTGTTCCGCGGCATGTGGGATCTTCCCGGACCAGGGCTCGAACCTGTGTCCCCTGCACTGGCAGGCAGATTCTTAACTACTGTGCCACCAGGGAAGCCCCTGGCTAAATACTCTTTTTAAGGGTGGGTAGTAATGGGCCAGGGGTGGGGGGAACTTTTTTTTTTTTTTTAATCTGAGAAGGCTTTTTTTTTTAAGATGTTGGGGGTAGGAGTTTATTAATTAATTTATTTTTGCTGTGTTGGGTCTTAGTTTCTGTGTGAGGGCTATCTCTAGTTGTGGCAAGCGGCGGCCACTCCTCATCGTGGTGCGTGGGCCTCTCACTATCGCGGCCTCTCTTGTTGCGGAGCACAGGCTCCAGATGCGCAGGCTCAGTAGTTGTGGCTCACGGGCCTAGTTGCTCCGCAGCATGCAGACCAGGGCTCAAACCCATGTCCCCTGCATTAGCAGGCAGATTCTCAACCACTGCGCTACCAGGGAAGCCCGGGAGCTCTGTTATACTATGGTCTGATGCCCTTTCCCCATCTTTTTGACAGAACTGTATGAATACTGTATTAAAGAAGGCTATGCAGATAAGAACCTAATCGCAAAATGGAAAAAGCAGGGATATGAGAACCTATGCTGCCTGCGGTGCATTCAGACACGGGACACCAATTTTGGGACGAACTGCATTTGCCGGGTCCCCAAAAGCAAGTTGGAAGTGGTAATGTCTCCACCCCTGTCATGTCTGACGACTGGGTGGGATATTACTGTCAGGGTTCTGCCCTAGTTGACCACAAGGGGTTTTATGTTGTTCTGTTTTGTGGTTGGCCATCCCCCCAGCAGTGAGACCCTCTGGTCAGGAATCCATGCCAGGGAGTTTGGCAGTAATTATCTTACATCTGGGGGCCAGTCTCACCTCCTCCTTTGGGCAAGTTATTGGGTTCCTTTCCTCACTTAACCAAATGGGGGTGATGATACCCACCGGCCAGTCGGCAGGAGCTTGTCCCTTTCCCTCCAGTGCTTGCCCTTCAGCCGCCCTTTTTTCCAGGCCTCCTTTTCCTCCCAGGGACACTTCAATGTTAGCATCACCATGTCTCCTGCCAGAACTTCCTGGGCGGCTGGGGAACACGGCTGGGTGTGCAGTAGCTCGGCTCCACACACATACGCCTCTGAAGTGGAGCCGCAGGAAGCAGAGAAGGGTTGCTGGGCTGTTGGCCGTTAGCGCCCTTTGAGCGTGGCCCCTCGGCTGACCGCCATGGGCCCCGCTGGGATGTCAGGCCAGATGTCTTCTTTCACACCGTCCCTCGTCACAAGGTCCCTTCACACTGCAGCACTAGTTACAGCTTGTAGGGCTTCGGCTCAGCAGGCAGCTCTGTCCCCCTGAACCATCTGGAAGCTCAAGGACGGGCATGTGGAGCAGTGGAGAGCGAGCACGGGCTGCCTCCTGAGGGGCAGCTCTGCTGCTGGTCTCTGGCGGGGGCAGGAAGGGGGGCAGAGCAGCAGAAGCCCTGCTCCTCCAAGAGCCCCAGGGTTCCACGGTGATGTCTAGCTGGGGCTCCTGCCCCAGACCTGAGGCCAGAACAGAGCCTGCTTCAGATTTAGTTGGGTTTCACCATCAGATCTTGTTTCCTTAGACCAGAGTCTTGCTCCTCCAAAAAAGAAGAAAAAGGAAAATAAACACCATTGCCCTGGGGCCTTCTGTCTGCTGGGCGGGCTCCCCTGCCGGCCAGACACTAGGCCACACCTGGCCTGGGGGACAAGACTGTTCCGCTGCCACACAGATTCAAGTACACACTCTTCTTCTTCCCGAGCCCACAGTGGAAAGTTCCCCAGCCCAGAGGCGGCCCTGAGGCCTCTGGCGCTGAGCCCCCTGAGCGGTAGCAGACCCACCCCCAGCTCACTGTAGGGTGTGTCCTGCGTGCTTCGCAGAATAACAAGAATCATTTACACAGATTTTTTTTTTCCTTTTTTGGGAGCAAGTGTGTACACTGAATTTGCATAAATTAAATCCACATAGAGAAGTAACTGCAGTGTCAACAGCAGCTGTTTCCATGTTCACGAGGGAACCGAATTTTCCCCATCCAGCACTGTCGCAGAGGGTTTCTGAGGAGTGTCCTATGGGGAGTGGATGTCCCGTGGCCACCCTTCCCACAGGAGGATTCCTGCGTGTGGGCGTGTGGTCCGTGGCAGGGGCACGGGGTCTCAGCTGTCTTCTGTTTGCAGGGCCGGATCATCGAGTGCACGCACTGCGGCTGCCGGGGCTGCTCTGGCTGAGGCCATCGGCCCCGACCCCTCTCCGCCCTGGACTCTGGACTGCGCAGGTTTCTGCCTGTCACGCCACCCTTTCCTGGGAGCGGCTCTTCCTCAGAGCAGTTCCCCAGGCCCGAGTAGGAGCATGGTCTCTACATGTGAAGGCTTTGGTGTTCATCAGCTGTGATTTGTAGAAATAAAACTAGTAAACCTTTTGGGTCCTGCCTGCCTTCTTTCAGAGCCAGCAGTCTGTGGAACCCAGTGGGACAGTGCCAAGCCCTGGAGACCAGTCTCCCTTAAGGCGTGATCCTAACTCCACCTCACAGGTGCTGTGTGACCCTGAGCACTTACTTTCCTCATTAGTGATGGGGGTGGCAACCTCTCAGACGAGGAGGGCCTAAGATGACATACCAAGGTGGCCCAAGCTGCTCTTGGACTTGCCATGAACTTCTTGGGCACCTCAGACCAATGCCTGCAAAAAGCTGCAGCTCTTACTGTGGCCCAGACCTTTCCCTCAAGCTTGCAGCTACACGGCACATTCACGTGTCTTGAATATGAAAGGGACTCTTGGGGCTCCCGCAGAGCCGTGTGAAGGCCATGCACTTTGTTCCAGCTCTGCTGGAGGTCCCCCAGGGTCTCCCCATCACCTGCCCCCAGGGCCTCTGTCCACATCGGCCACAGTGACGGTGTCCTGGTCTCCCTTTGGTTTGGTCCGGAACTTCTGCCACGGGTGGGGGGTTTCCTCTGCTGGCATCACTTTCAGCCACTGCTTATAATAAGCTCGGAAACCATCAATCTTCTCCAAGTAGGTGTTTCTCCCTTTGTACTGTAATTGGAAAAGCGTGGGGTTCCAAGGCTCAGAGGGGCCACGATTAGACTCACTGCATATTACCTACTGCTGACCCCAAACCATGGCAGCTGGCTCAGGGCTCAGGGAAGCTGTTCTTGCTTCCAGTTGGTCAAAGGGAGAGGGCAGAAAAGCTGCTCAGCACCGAGTAGTGTACAGTAAAGAAACAAAGTTGTACCATGGGGCAGACCCAGATTCTCTCTCATCTGCTAACAATCCTTCCTGAGTCTTTGCTGCTGTGCTCCTATATACCCAGGCATGGCACCCCAGCCCTGCACAGCTAGAACCGCTGGGCGCCACCAGCTGTGCCTCCACAGCCTGCTGAGCGCCTCCCGCTCGGCACAGGCATTGCCTCCCTCTGACTGTCATCTCAGCACTGCTGCAGAGGTCTCAGGAGAGGAGGGAAGAAGGAAAGGAAACAAGACATGCCAGGCAGACACCAAGAGAAAGCTGGTAGAGGAACACAGAGAAGACCAGAGGAAAAACAGACAAAACGTATGAGATAAAAACCGTTACTACATGATGATAAAAGGGTTGATTCAAAAGGTTTAACAATTCTAAACTTGTACCTAATAGAGCCTGAAAGTACGTGAAGCAAAAACCTGATGATCACAAATAGAAATAAGTCCACCATAAGGGAGCATGAATGTATGACTGAATACAATAAGCTTTAGGCTTCTGGTAGTTTGGTGACTGTTGATTGAACCTGAGAAGACCCCTAGTGGGCCCTACACAGTGAAGAGACAACCCCCCAACCGGAAGATTCTTGCAACACGAAACCAACAAAAGACTAGTGTCCAGAATATTTAAAGAACTCTGAGGCATCCGTAAGATAATCAGCTGTTCAAAGATGCCCAGCTATGCCCTCCAGCATACTCTCCACTGCTGTCTCACTAGCTCTTATTAAGCCTTCAAGCATCCCCCCTGCACAGCCGTCCCTGACCCCACGTCCCCTGGCTTGGTGTGTCCTGGCCGACTTGTCTCCCTCCCAGTCAGGCCACAGCTGCTCTGGAGGTGCTCAGCATAGGGTCTGACTCAGCGGACCTAAAAACCAAAGCCCCGGAGCCTGATATCCTCAGAACAGCAAGGAGAGAAGTGGCCATTACAAATCAGATTCTATCGCTGCCCTCCTGCCGTCCCCATTCACTCGACAAACAACAATCTATGCTGGGCGCCAGATGACAGGCAGGCACCAGGGACCCAGGTGAGCAAAGCAGACAGTCTCCACCTCTAGGGGCTTTTACAATCTCTTCAAGGGAAGAGTCACACACGTGTGCATGTAATTACCAACTGTGAAACATGGTGAAAAGGAATAGTGCTCGTATGGGGGCCGCCAGCAGGGCACCTCTGAGAAAGAGCCATCTGAGCCGACACCTACCAGATGAGAAGGAACCACAGCCATGTGAAAAGCAGGGCAGCCTACTCAAGATGGAATACAAAAACCCCTGAGGCAGGGAAGAGGCCGTGGGACTGACGGTGAACCGAGGGAGGAGTGGCCTAAGATGAAATGAGCCACGTGAACAGGGGCTCGCAGGCCGCAGTCTGAGGAGTTTGGCATTTTCCCCAAGGGAAGCCACCGACAGTTTAAAGCAAAAGGATGCCAATCCCAGCAGGTCAGAACCAGGCGGGGTGTGGGTGGCGCTGGTTAGGGAGACGACGGGCATGTTAGAGCTTGGTGCACTTACCCGGTCGAAGGTGGGTGGGTACTGGGCTGCGAACTCCAGCTGGCGGATGACCACTTCATTCACCGGGACCCTGTTCCGCCTCATGTCCTTCAAGATGTCGATGAGATAGGCGTAGTCCAGCTTCTTGACGGCTGCGTTGATGAGAGTGCTGTAGATGTGGGCGCTGGGGGTCATCTGGGATTTCTGGAACATCACAGACACACCATCAGCAAGATGATGGTGGTGGCTGGGACAGAGAGGCCACTGGTGGCACGTCGGGCTTGGGGAGCTACCCTGCCAGTCAGGCCTGCTCTGCAGACCAGCCACCAGGGACGAGAAGGGCAGGACCTCGTGGCAACAACGGGCTGTATGCCCCGCTCCACGTCCCCCGCTCTGTGGGTCCATCCCAGGTGACTCAGGACCCCGCCCTCTCAGCCCTGAAGAACCTAGACGCAAGTAGAGGGTTGTTCTCAGAGATCAACAGGCTCAGGCAGTAAACCACATCAGGGCAGGAGACCACCTCCTGTGGTTCACTGCACCCCTGTCCCTTGAGAATTCTGGTACGCTCCCTGCTCCCATCATGGCCTCCATCCCTCTAGAGGGTTGGGGCCAAGACCTGCCCCACCCCTCAATCTCACCCCGCGGCCACCACCTTGGCAATCATAACACCCCTGGCCCTCAACGCCCATTCCTGCAGCGCCTCACCAGGGTTTCCTGTCTCCCAAATTGGGCCACTGACCGTTCCACACTGCAGCTAGAGAGACCCCACTCTCCCTGCCCCGCCCCCAACAGCTTACCCTGAGGGCAGAGGCCTGGACGGTTCGGGAGGGCCCCCTCACCCCCCAACACCCCAGCTTTCTTCTTCAGCACCACGGGGCCTGCCTGGGCCCGGGCCCGCTCACCCTCATGTCTGCAAGCAGCTGCAGGCCATCCCCTGGCCTGTGGCACCCGATGGCCAGGCTGCAGAATGTCTGCAGGTTAGGGACGATTCCCCTCTTTGCCAGGACTGGCAGCAGTGCCTGTGGGGACAGACGTGGCATCACCGTAAGCTGTAGCCCAGCAGCCCTGGCAAGAGCCTTCTCTGCTGGAGGCGCCAGGGCACGGCTCTGCTCTGAGGCCTCGTGGCTCCCTCTGCTGACCACACTGGGCACCGGCCTTGGCCCAGCTCCCCAGGATTCAGCTGCTCTGCGAGTCCTCCCTGCCTTCCAGCCCGCCTGTCTGTAACAGGTCATCCCTTCTTCGAATGCCCTTCATGTTCCTGCCCCCTCTGCTCCTCTCCCGGCCACCATCCATCCCTGCCTTCGATGTCCATCGAGCACCAGGGGCCTCAGGGGATGGCGGTCCTGTGGTCCAGGGCAGGAGACAAAGCCGACAACAGCATGGGAAGTGAGGGCCGAGGGAGCCCCCGGGCAGGAGATGAGGAAGAGGGTGCCCGCTCAACATGGCTGGGTCAGGGCGGGGCCCAGGGAGGGGCTCTAGAGAAAGCTGTGCTCTGCTCTGAGGGCCTGAAGGCAGAGGCTGCCTCTGTCAGCTCTCAGGAGAGCCCAGGTCAGAGCTTCTGGCAAAAGGGGCATCACACAGAAATACGTTGTACGAATGGACAAAAATCCCGTGAGGGCCCCAACGTCGCCATCTGTGAGACGAGGAAAGCCACAGGCCAGTGGAGCCTCCTGCTGTGGTCAGTAAAGAAACGAGTGGATGTGAAGCTCTCAGAACAGAATGAAGCACAATAAGTGTGAGGAAGTCCATGAGGCTGGGGCGGGGCTGAAGGGTGGCCCCTCTGGGAGGGCGGGGAGTATGGCTGGTTCACCACCTGATTCCCAGGAGCTCCGGACAGTCTGCGCCCCTCTCACAGGAACTGCTGACACACCTGGCAGGGGAGGGTCTGAGGGGGAAGGAGAGGGGCCCAGGCGGGAGCCCTGTGCCTCCCCTGCGCCCCTCACCTTCGCCCCCTCCAGGTCGCCCAGCTTGCTCTTCCTCCTCATCAGCGTGTTGAAGAAGGTCAGGTCGGCCTCCACTTGCTGCGCGTCCAAGATGGTGAGTAGCGAGGACTCTGCGGAAGTGCCGGGCTCCACCACCTCCGCCAACAGCGTGAGGGTTTTGATGTCGGGCCGAAGCCCATGCTCCGCCATCTTTCCCAGGAAGCCCTCAAGGCCCCCCATCAAGGCCAGCCTGTCGGCTGGAGTGGTCACGGTCCCAAAGGAGACCACAGCCGAGGAGACCGCCCCGGGGGTCAGGAGGTTGGTCTCCAGCCCCCAGGGAGGCGGCACCGGGGCCGCAGGGGCCACAGCGTGGTCAGGCTCCACCTTGGTTTCCACCCCAGGCTGGGCCTTGCCGCGGGCTCCGGCCTCCTGAGGCTCCAGAGGCCCCTCAAGTGCCTGAGAAGGTTCTAGAAACAGCTGCCTCTCCAGGGCCTCCACGTGCAGCCTGGCTGACAGGCTATCGTCCGCCCCGACCCCGTCTCTCCTCCTTGCCTGCCGCCCACCTGCCGGGGGCTGGAGCAGGACCATCTCCTCCCTGGGCCTCAGGAGCACCGCCGAGGCCACCTCCGGGTCCCCCAGGCCACAGTCCCGAGCTGCCCCCAACAGCAGGTTGTAGCCGTGCCGGCTCGGCTGGAGCCCCAGGCTCAGCATCTGCCTCCACACCTGCCAAGGAGAGACAGGCCTCACCCCCAGCTCCCGCTCCGAAGAGCCCCCAGCAGAGCAGGCAGCACAAGGCAGCAACCAGTCTGCAAACGTGGGGGCAGGGGGGACACGGGAAAGACGCCAGGCTCTGGGCCACTGAGAACCCCAGAGCCTGGGAGCTTCCACGGGGCGCCGCTTCTCCTCTCCTCTGGCTCACCCCAAAACCGTGTCGCACGTCCATCTCTCCGGCTCTCCCAGGCCCTCCTCCCACTCCCCTGGGGAGGGACAGCCGGAGAGGCTCGGTGCTGGAGGAGTCCAGGCTGACTGAAGGACTGGACGCAGCTGCCCTTCCTGAGCGCCTGCCGTGTGCCCTGCCCCACGCAGCGTCCTCAGCTGCCTCAAGAGCACGGAGCGGGCACGGGCGGAGGGGGGCCTCAGCCAGGAAGAGCACCTCACACGCTGTGGGCCCGGGCAGGCCTGTCTCCCTTCAAGCTGAGGTCATTTTCACCCCTCAGCGAGGAGTCTAGCACACTTGTGAGTTCTCAAGGGGGCAGTATGACCACGTGCGGTCACTCTGACACCAACCAAGATGCCACGAGATGCCCCACGAGGCTCATGGTCTTGCTGGCTCCTGTCCGCAGGCTCACTGGGAGGCCACGTGCAGCGGCCAGGAGCTCACATCAAGTGTGCCTATGAGTCAGGGCCGGCCAGGCCCAGGTGGGTGCCACATGCAAAAGGGCCACTGCCCACCAGACAGGGTCCTGAGGAGGGCAAGGGTCTGGGAAGCCACCTCCATGGGGAACACTGACAGAACTGAGGTTATCAGGGACGCAGATGCTATCCCGTGGCAGGAGGGATTCTTGATTCAAATCACAGCTCTGCTTCTTAGTGGCTGTGAGACCTTGGGCAAGTTACTCAACCTCCGGGAGCCTCAGCCTCGTCGTCTCTAAAACGGGGCTATGGTACCCAGCTTGAGCAGTTTAACAAGTGCATGACACAAACCAGCTGCTAGCGTGATAGACTATTTCTCACTAGAACAGATCGAGGCCAAAGAGAGGGAGGAACCAGATCCTGTCTATAAAGCAGCCAGGGGATGGCCGGCAGCCAGTTTCCAGGGGGTTTGCAGAGGGGAGGCACGTGGTCCAGGGCTGCCCCAGATCACTGGGGCTCAAACTCTGTGCAGACCATCCCCCTGGGGATCTTGCTGAAATGCCGATCTGGCTGCATGAGGCCTGTGTGGGGCTGAGACCCCGCATTTCTGACAAGCCCCAGGTGAGCCTGAGGCTGCTGGTCTGTGGGCCACACCTGAAGTTAGAGCTTTTGGTGAACTCCAGGTCCTTCCCACCCCTGAGGAGCTGAGGAGGCAGCTGTGGTACCAGTGCTAATCCTGCCTCCGCACTTGATAAGGGGGGCGCTGCGATGGGATTAGAGCAGCGTGTCTCAACTTTAATGTCCGTGAGGCTCTCTCAGGACTGAATGCTGACTCCTGGGTCCCACACGCAGAGACGCTGAGTTGGGGATGGGTCGGACAACCTTCAAGGACCGTAAGCTCAGCGGGTCTGGGCCGGCTGCACAGAGAGCCACCAAGCGGAGTGGGAGAGTGTGGGCTGGCTGTGTCCCGACTGGAGCAGTAGCCACGCCTCCTCCGCGTGCCCTCCCTCCCTGCCATCTGTAAAACGCAGGGAGCAGCGTGCTCTGGGAAGGCCAAAAGATCACAAATATAAAAACACCCAGCACAGGGCAGGAGCAAGTGCTCAAGTAACGCCCACAGGATCATCACTTGCACCCAACACAGGCACACGGAGGGGGAGCGAGCAGGGCAACAGGAGAGAAAGGACACAGAGCCAGGCGGGACAGACCTGCAGGGCATATCGGAAACCCGTTTTCTTGTCCTGGATGCAGCCCATGAGCAGGTAACTGAAGGTCTCCTCTGTGACCGCATGTCCTTTCTGGATGATTTCCTGGGGGAGGGAACAAAGAGGGCCGGATGAGAATCTGCAGAAGAGCCAAGGCCAAGGCCCAGGCCCGATGGGGCTGGCTAAGGGCAGACACCCCAGGTCAGGCTCAGGGCTGTGCCTCCGGAAGAGGTGGGGCCTGACTCTGGCTCTGGGCCAGCTCAGTACCAGCTGCTGGGCAGAGCTAACTGCTGCCTGCACCCCCTCCTCCTCTCCTTCCCAGGCCTCTCTTCCTGGCTCTGCTCCGGTCACTTCTCTGCAGCCTCTCTGCAAAGGCCACCCCAGCAGCCACTTTTAACCCCTGTACATGAGGCTTTGGCATTGCACAGAGCTGGTTTCAAATCCCAGCTTCACCACTGGCTCGCTGTGGGAGTGTGGGCAAGGCATTATGCTCCCTGGTCTCAGTTTCCTCATCTATGAAGTGAGGGCACAGGACTTGCCTTATAGGACCTTTGGAACGACCCCTCAGTGAGCACTGGCTCATCTTCAGCACCATGAAGCCCACCCTCTGGTACGGCACCACGGAGTCCCATCCAGCGGGACTGCACACGGCAGAGCACACGAACCACCGCCTTCACAGGGCTGGGGGCTCCTCTGTCTGCCAGACCCAGGCCTCTGATAACAGGGTCTCATGGGATTCACCTGTGAACCCCAGAGCCCAGTACGGGGCTTGTCTCATTGGCCCCTGAACCTTCCTTCATGAGGAACACAGACAACACAGCCTCACACCCTGCCATGTGGGACTGGCCCCAAATGGGGAGCAGGAAGGAAGGGATGTCCCACCTTAAACACATCGAGGCACATCCTGAGGTCTGCGCACATGGCGGCCATCTTCAGCAGGGAGTGGTACGTTTTCAAGTTGAGCTGGAAGTTTCTGGCCTGAAGCTGCTGCCGTAACTTCAAGGCACTCTGCAGAGCAGAGTCCTTCCAGGGGGACTCAGCGCAGACGTTGAACAGGGCTGTGTAGGTGGCATCTGAGGGCTCCAGGTCTCGCTTCTTCATCTGTGGAGACAGGGAGAAACTTGGAAGTGGCTCTGGGATCAGCCCGACGCACAGACGATGGCCACCCTGAAAGGAAGCTAGAGAAGACTGTGCTACCACACTGAACAGGCCTGGGAGCTGGGCCTGTGACAACGCAGAGCCAAGTGACACGCAGAGCTGGGCTCTCTGAACCCGACTCAGCCCGAGGGGCTCTGGGAACTGACCCCGCACCGCAGATGCTCCAAACAAGAAACCATCCTCCCCATGGTGCTCAGCAGTCCACCCTGGGCCTGGAGTGCTTTTGCAGCAGGGTCTCCCCAACGCTCCCGCTCTGTGGCCGACCAGGCCACCTTGACTGTTAAGATCCATGGGGTGGATCTGGTCTGGGAAAGGGTGGAGGAGGGTGGTAATCAAACCCCAGCTCCAACGTTTACTACCTGAGGGGGTCATAAGTTAGCTCGTCATTGGAAAAATGGGGGTGATACGGTCACCTCGAAAGGCTGTTATGAGGGAGAGCATCATGGGAGAGAGGCCCTGGGAGCAGCAGCAGCCAGGAGCTCGTCTCTGCAGCACATGTCATAGTCCCCCACCCCACCCCCGCTGAGTCACAAACCCCAGACTGACACTGGGCTTATTAAGCCCTCCAGGTGACGGAGTTTGAGAAACTCCTGGTAAAGCCAAGCACTCGCTATTTCCCAGAGAAGGGCAACCTGACCGAGGGTAGGTGACCAGCTTTTGCAGAGTGTACAGAACCCTGTTCTCAGGCCATTTTGGGCTCCACTCCCAAATCCAGCACTCGAGAGAGAGAGAGAGGTAACCTTAGACATGGCACTTCATCCCTCCAGGCCTCAGTTTCCTCATCTGAAAAAGGAAGACGGTGATCCCAACTTCAAGGAAGGGCAGATGCTCTGTATGTATGTTCACGTATTCCACAGCGTGTCCTAAGGACTTACTAAGGGCCAGGCCCAAATGACGAGACTAGGGCTCCCAAGAATTCTTGCTGGAATAAAGGATGTTCTCAGCTCCTGGAGAAGATGGGAATACTTCTGCTAGAGTCTATGGTCCTCTCAGGCACAGCTCTTTCCTGACTCATGAGGGAAGCAGCTTCCTGGCTCTAAGAATGACAAACACACCCCAGAGGTGGGCGAATATAAAGTAAAACCATCTTCCAAGAGAAATAAAAGCCCTTTCTCAAAGGATCAGCTTTGGAAAAAAGGTGCATGTGTGCACCTGTGTGTAGCGTGAGGATGGGAGTGAGACAAAAGGAACACAAACTAAATTAACTGGGAGTAGCAGTGGAAAAGGAAGGGGACCGGTGGGCCCTGCCATGGCCCGGACAGGCACTGGAGGACCTTCCATGTCATCACGTAGTTATCTGAGATCACCTCCATTTTATGAACGATGAAACTGAGGCTGGAGGGGGTAATGCACTAGCAGGTGACACATCCAGGGTCTGTACCCAGCTCTTTTGGGGCCCAAAGCCCATGTTCTATGGAGCCTGGCCCCTGCTGCCCCCAGGCTCATGCTCACGTCATTGTAGAGCTGGAAGGCCTTCCTCAGGTAGCCAGCCCGCCCGCAGCCCCCGATCAGCACGGTGTAGTTGCACTCAAGGGGCTGGAGTCGCTCCTCCTTCAGCATCTGTCTCTCAAACAGGTCCAGGGCCTCGGCCAGCTGGGGAAGAGGGGTGGGGGGAGGACACAACGGGGGGGACCTCAGAGACCCTCAGCAGAGGGAGGGAGACTGAGGCTGGGGGACCCTAGCTGAGCCCAAGCTCAGGCCTGCCCAGGAGACAAACACCCACCCTGGGCCTCTGCCACCAGCCTCTTGGTGCCCATGGTCTGCAGCCACGGGCCTTCGCGGTGGCCAAGAAGGAAGCCTACCAGTCTCCCACCACCTGTGAGAGCTCCTGGCCCCACTGCCATGGGGGAACTCCCTGAGAGGCAGGGGAGATGCCCAGGTGAACAAAGATCTGAGGATGGTGAGGGAAGGAGCCATGTGGCTCTCTGAGGGAACAGCCAGTGCAAAGGCCCTGAGGCCGGAGTGTGCTTGGGAGCTGTGGGAGCAGAGAGGAGGCTGCAGCAGAGTAAGTGAAGGAGGGGAGATGCGGGCGGAGAGGTAAGGGGGGTGGAGGGCAGGTGGCAGTTCTTGCAGGCTTCATAAGCTACTGTGAGGACTCCAGCTTCTCTTCATTTCTCAACTTTTCATTATGGGAAATCTCAAATATACACAAAAGTAAAGAGAATAGCGTAACTACAATGCCTATTAACGTCTGGCCAATCTTGTTTCATCTATACCCTGCATTTCTCCTGCAAACTGAATTTTTTTTTTTTTCTTTAGCGGTACGCGGGCCTCTCTCTGTTGTGGCTTCTCCCGTTGCAGAGCACAGGCCCCGGACGCGCAGGCTCAGCGGCCATGGCTCACGGGCCCAGCCGCTCCGCAGCATGTGGGATCCTCCCAGACGGGAGCGCGAACCCGTGTCCCCTGCATCGGCAGGCGGACTCCCAACCACCGCGCCACCAGGGAAGCCCCCAAACTGAATTTTTGAAAGCAAATTTCAGACATCCTGTCACTTCATTCACCAAAGCTTCGACATATACCTCCAAGAGATTTTTAAATATAAATGGAATGTCGTTATCAATACCTAAGGAAATGAACATCCCCAGTGTCACTTAATACACTGGGAGAGCTGGAGAGAGAAGTCAGGCCATCTGCTCTCTGCTTTAACGGGATGGCTCCATGCTGCAAGCCCACATCCTGGAAAGAGGTGGAGAGAGCCTTGGGGAGCCCAGAGACAAGTGTCGTTATAGCTGAGGGGGGCAAGGAGAAGGCTTGGCCTGGGCATTCCGGGGTAGGCTTGTGAGAAGTTAGGACGGGAGAAATTTTGAAGCTAGAGCTGGTGAGAGAAAGAGAAGACTCAGAGATGACCTGAAGGCATGTGGCCTGGGCGGATGGAATAATGGGGTTACCATTGAGTGAGATGAAGAAAGCGTAGGGAAATCAAAGTTGGGAACAAAAATTGCAGGCCACTGAGGGTAAGTATAAGGGAGATGGTGAGGAGGCAGCTGAATACACAGATGGGGAGTCCATGGGATGGCCGAGCTGGTAACAGGAAGATGGGAGCAGCATGAAGGAGGGGGCACTGAAAGCCAGGAGGCTGGCCGGTCGCCTGGTGCAGCACCGAGGGGGGAGTGAAGACAAAGAGGAGAGAGGAGCTCTCAGCATCCCACCCTTTAGAGATGACTGGAAGGTTGGGCGGCCCATCACAAAATACCACAGCACAGTGGAAGCAGGAGCCAGGAGCAGCAGAATCCAAAGGTTCCCTACCTTTCCTTCCTTGATCAGGCGTTTGCACTGAAAGAAGTACCAGCAAGGGGTGTTTCTTGGGCCCTGCCGTGATTCTGGCTGCAGCCCCCCTTCCTCATCTTCTTCACCACTCTGTTCCTTGAGCCGCAGGTTATACAACTGGGCCGTCGATTTGTGGAACATTCTCCGGGAGGAGTATTTGTCGGAAAGGGTCCCAAAGCTCTCCTCCTCCCCTTCCTCCTGCGTGGCCGTGGGGCTGGGCTGGCCTGGGTCAGAGCTCAGGCTGCCTGTGTTCTTCTGGCTCCGCGGGCCGAGGGACAGCCGAGAGAGGGAGCTGTTGAAGGCTGCTGGCGCTAGCCGAATCAGCCCTGCGGCCCTCGGCCACATGGGCCCCTCCCTGCCTCCGGCCCACCTGGCTCTGAGGGGGTCAAGGTGGTGCAGGATGGCCAATCCCATGGGGCAGGGGCCGTAGAAGAGCCGCGAGAGTCTCACGAGGTCCATCTCTGGTGTTCCCCTCCAGGGCCTGGCATAGGTCAGCAAAATAGTGAAAGTCAACGCGAGTTCATAGTCACAAAAGGCAGAAAGAAGACCAAGAAGGTGGGCACAAGCACAAGCCCTGAGGTTAGAAAGTAGGCCTAGCGTTAGGGTTAGGTTCAGATTTCAGCTCCACCAAACAACTATCCTTGAGTCCCTGGGCACTCACTGCTCTGGCCTGTCTCCTCGGCTATAAACTGGGGTTAACTATAACATCACCCACACAGCACCGTAGCAATGATTCAATCTCAGATACCAGCGTTCAGGTGCAGCATGGTGAGCACTCGATACACCTAAACTATTGATCTGTATCACTGAGCCACGACCTAAGTGACTGGGCACTCAAGTCAGAGCTCACTTTGAGCCCTGGCCAGAGCTGAGTAACTGGGCCCATTACTTGACCTTCTTGGACCTCAATTCCTTCAGCTGCAAGACACACTCACCTTACCACAAGGCCATAAGGATTAAATGAGATGTTTTTATCATAATGCCTGGGGTTTAATAGGTGTTCAAAAAATTATAGCATTATCATTTATTAGGAAAAAACACTGGCATTCTGGGCCTCTGCACAGGGAAGTTAACTTAAACATTTCTCTTCTGCAAAATTCATGGGCAAATGGGCTTCAGCTGTGCTGTCCAATGTGATTATTGACACTTGAAATGTGGCTAGACTAAATGCAGATATGCTTTAAAGGTAAATTATACACCAGATTTCAAAGACTTTGTACAAAAAAAGAAGGTAAACTACACATTTTTTTACATGTTGAAATGATAATATTTTCGATATACTGGGCTAAAGAAAATTTGAGACTGATTTCACAATCTTTAAACTTTAATGCGGCTACTTAAAAATTTTAAATTACGTACGTGCTCACACTATACTTCTATTGCACAGTTAGGCTAGAGATCCTGGTCTACATATTTGAAACTCTTTAATAAAAAAATATCAGAATACCCCCTATGAACAGAGCCATGCACTTATTTTGATGGGAGAATATGAATAGTTTTAGTTACTTAAGAAACAATTTGGGGAAGTTTTTATCTACTCTGAGAACTTTCGGCCCAATTCAAGGACTCTGTCAGTTGACAAAAAGTTTTCCCCCCAAACAGATGAATACTTAAACTCATTCAAAGGAGAAGAAAGCTCCCCAAATAAAAAAAAAATCAGAATAACGAGCATGAACACGTTTTAAGGTCTGGTTATATTAGAAGGTGGAAAGACCTCAGAGGGGACAGCAGGTTGGACAAATTAATATCTGTGGCCCAGGGAGGGGACTGACTTGCTGGAGGCCCTGCAGCAGTGTGGTGGGCGAGATCCACTAGCTCTGGAACTGGCTGGCTTTGAACCCAAGTCCATGAATAGTATCAAACAGCTTCTCTTGACCAGCACCCTAGTGACACCAGTGCAGAGGGCCTTTACCATTCTGCACCTGGTGAAGCTCCAAGAGAAACGTAATGCGAGCCCGTATGTAATTTTAAGTGTTCAAGTGACCACATTAAATAAAGGGGTTACACATGTTAATCAAAATACAGAGAACTTTAATTACTGATATTGATATAGGTACCAAAATGTCTTTAAAACAAACTTATGCTCTATTAGTATAGATGCTTCTTTTTCCAGCATTAAATAACAAGTCCTATCTTCATGTCCAAGCAGCGACAACTGGAGAGGAGTTTGTTGCAGATACTCTGTCTCCAACCATCATTTACACTCATCCCCATTTGCAATCGCGACTTCGTTTTGGACAGAGCGAACGCCACTCGGTCAGTCACCGAAGGACTTGCTAAATTTTACACTGAGACAATAAAGGAGTAATTCCTTCCTCCTCAAGTTCGTCAACCCGCCCGAGTTACTAACCCCTGAATTAGAGACACGGGGCCGCCGTCCTCCCTTGGGGGACCAGACTCTCCCCGGACGCTCCCCGGGACCCTCAGGCCGACCCGCCCCCTCTCCACACCTCCCTTTAGAGCCTCGGTCTCCTCAGCGGACGCCCCCGGCTCCGACTCTGGCTGTCACCCTCGCTGCCCCTCTGGTCAGTCTTCGTCCGGAGCCCGGGCCCCTGTGAGGGTCAAACAGGAACTCACTCCAAGGGTCCGACCCAGTGAACGCGGCCCCACCTCGGCCGCCAAGCCCACGGCACCCCCGCCCCGCCTCGCGTCACCCCCAGTCCCGACCCCGCGTCACCCCTAGTCTCGTCGCCGCGGCGCCGCGAACCCGTCTCCGCGGTCCGGAAGACCTTGCGCAGGCGCAGTCCGCGTCGCTAACTCCCGGCGCGCATGGTTTCAGGTGGGCGTTCGGCGAGCTGCTAGCCGGGCCTAGCGGAGCGGCCCGTCCTCTGCGCTTGATTGGCCGAGCCTGGGCAGGCGAAAGGGCCGGCGCGGGCTCCGGGAGCTCCCAGCATCCCTCGGGAGGCAGTGGCGGCGGCGGCTGCGAGGCGGGGCGGTGGAGGACCTTGTGCTGCGGGGCCGACAGCGGTTAGAGGTGTGAGGGCGGCAGGGGATCTGATCGGGAGCCGGGCCGGTGTGGCCGCCGCCGCCACCGCCACCATGCAGGAAATCATCGCCAGCGTGGACCACATCAAGTTCGACTTGGAGATCGCGGTGGAGCAGCAGCTTGGGGCGCAGCCGCTGCCCTTCCCCGGCATGGACAGTGAGCGCGGGGTCGGGGCAGGCGGGCGAAGGGCGCGACCGACTCGGCCCCAGGACCCCCATTCTCTGGTTTCGGGACGCCCTCCCCCTCAGTTCGGGAGCTCCTCCCCCTCGGTCCCGGGACTCCTTTCCCCCAATCCAGGGAACCCCCCCCTTTTCCCTCATTTGGACTAGGGAGCTCCCCTCTGCCCCGGGGGCTATTTTAAGGCAGTCTTCAGTAGGGCAGGACCACGTCCGGCAGTTCAAATAACTCTTGAATGAAGGCAGGTGTCCTGGGTTGGAAATCCTGCCCTCACTCGCACACACTCCCCAACTACAGGAAAGTACTAAGATATCCCCTTTCCCTACCTCCAGGCCCCCCACTTTGAGCGCCCTCTTCCTGCTTTCATCAAAACTGGGCCGTTGGAGGAGTCTTGCTGAGGGAAGGACCCATCTACCCCTCTCTGTAGAACACCCCAGTGAGACTCTCAAGCTCCATTGTTTTCCTAGGACTCGCACTCCTGGGAGCCCATCCCTCACTGTTTCTCTGGACCCCACCTCTGGGTCATTCATCACACTCAGGCAGCTGCATGAGTTCCCTTCACTGTCCCGCTTCGCGTGGTGGCTCCTGGCTTCCCCCCCCACCCCAACTCAGGTGGGACGGGTAACACTTTATTTTTATTTCTTTTGACCGCGACCAGGGATTGAACCCGGGCTACGGCAGTGAAAGCGCCGAGCCCTAATCACTGGACCGCCAGGGAGTTACTTGGAACGTCTAGCACTTTAAAAGAAACCAACAGTTTCCTTAATTTCTCTCTTTTCCAGACATACTTGAAATCTAACGCTATAGCATTAAACCTCAGAGGGCTCTTAGAGGTCATTGGGTTCAAGCCACAGGTGGGGCAGCTCAGGCCTGGGTGGGGGAGGGGACTTGCCAAAGATGGCTCAGCGCCTGGTGGCTCAGCTCGCCAGGGTTCTTGACCCTTCCACCTGCAGTTCCCCACGCCATCTCCTGTAACTGCCAGAGGACATGGGCCATAGCCCCACGTTCTCCCACGTGTCCCAGGGCTGGTCAAGTCTCCCTGCAGCGTCATTCCCCCCAAGTGGCCACACTTCTGATGCACACGTGACCTCTGAGGTGTCCCTCTCACGCTGACACTTCTGTGTGAGAATGCTTACGCTCAAGAGATATAATTCAAACAGCCTTACTTTATACACACCCAGCACTGTCTCCACTGTACACGGCTCATGAGCCACTGCTCGCATTCAGATATGCACTCTTAAACCTACTCGTTGATACGCGTGGTCACTTTGTGCTTTTACGTGTATGTCCACTCACGCGTGGGCTTTTCCTGTGTTGATGGCACTAGCCTGATGGCATGGAACCCTCCGCGCAGGGCGGCTCTTTCTCTCCCTCCCCGCTCCAGCCTGGAAGCACAGATGCTTGAGCCTGTGAGGGCAGGCACAGAGGTGGGGAGCCCACAAACCTGTTCTTAGGGAGGGTCCAGGACATACCTGGCCACAGGTACTGCCTCAGACTTGGTAAGCGCCGTCAACATTCACTGCCTGCCTGAGATCACGGTCAGTGTGTTAGAGGCCAGGGAGGCCACAGCTCTTCTTCCCCCTTCCCTGCACTTCAGTCCCATCTTAATAAGTCCCATCTTAGTTATGCCCTGAAGGCATACTTCTTTATCCTGTCTGCCTAAAACCCGATCCCCAGGACTCTGGACTTCTGGCTTTAGGGAATGAAACGACCTTAACCTCTGAAAAGAATGAAGGCCCAGAAATACTCTTAAATGATACTTTTTTTAATGTAAGACTTCTCGGACTTTTTGAAATGCAAACGAGTGACACCCCTGTGACTCCCATCACTGGAACCTTAAATCTGTCCTAGCAAAAGCTGCCTGCTTCCAAGAAGCCAACGAATCTCTTGCAAGTTAGCAAGGAGAGGCACGTAAGTGGGCTTCAGAGATGGTGTCGGTGGATTTCCCATGATGCTAAAATGCCTGTTGATAGAGAAAACTGTGTGGGAAGGCACAGGCTATTTATTCTGGTGGCCATGGCAGGTGAGTCCCTGGGCTCCTTGGGACAGCCCTGGACCCCACTGACTTCCACTGCGCTCAGCTTTCATTCTCCTGTTCCCCTCACCAGGACCAGCTCCATCTGTGGAAGCAGAAGACTGTACTCCTTTAGTTACTGTGTGTTGGTATTGCATGTTAAGAGCAGTCCTGCTCTTGTGTCTTCAGTTACGCTCTTCCCTCCGGAATAGCTTCTCTGAGGCACCTGCCTCTACTCTGGAGCCAGTTCCTCCTCAGAGCCCCCATCCGCTTCTTTGTGCTTCCTGTGAGATCATTCCCTCCCTCTGCCTCAGGTGAAAGTGCCCCTGAATTAGCCCTCTGGGACGTCTGAGTTGGGAGTAATGAATTTCTGTGATCTTGCATTCCATCCTTCCTTCCCCCATCCACTCCGAACTCCCTGAAAGCATCTTGCTTATAGGAGATTCTCAGAAAGCCCTGAATAATTACTGGTCTCAGTGTGGATGTCTCATTTTGCAGGGAATGACTGAACTGAGCTTTTTCCTTGCTTGGTCAGGCTTAGCATTTTTTTGCCACTCTGTTTCCTGTGCCTTGACCCCTCCGTGGGTTAAAGGCCAGAAGGGTTCCCTCCCCATCTTCACATGTCACCAATAGCAGTTACACATCGCTTTGTTTGACACCTCTTCTCCTCTCTGCAGAGTCGGGGGCTGCTGTCTGCGAATTCTTTTTGAAAGCTGCCTGTGGCAAAGGTAAGAGACCCCTGGCTCCCGACGTTCCCCCTGAGGCGCCCTCCACCGCCCTGTCCCCGGCAGACTCACAGGCTCTCAGGTCCCTGGCTCACCCTGCTTTCTGTGACTCGCGGTGTCCCTAGATGCAACTGTGGTCCAGATAAGCTAGGAACGTGGTGGGGTGTTCTGCCTGAAACCTGGAACACAGGCCTGAATCTGCCTCTGAGTCTGCCTTCTCACCTCACTTTCTCTGCAGCCACGAGCTGACCTGTGACATGGACAGAGGCCCCTAGCCCTGAGGTGTTCAGGAACTTTCTCAAGGTCACAGAGTCAGTGAGTGGCTGAGCCCAGGCCTTTTCTGATTCTACAGTGTACACAAGCTCACGTCCTCTGTGTACTCTCACCAAAAAACTCCACGATAGTGTGTCTCGTGGGGTTCTTGTTCATACTAACCAGGTCCCAACACAGGCAGCGTGAGCCAGACTCTCTGCTGATCCATAAGACGTACCGCTGGGTGGGACCCTACATGCCATGTACAGGTCTGGGCATTTTTCTTCCTGTAGCCAAATTTATTTGGAAACTAAATTTTAATTAGAAGCTTGAATAGGGCGCACAGAATTACAGCACGGGGATGGTTTTAATGGATGATTTGGGCAAGTTGTGGTTCTATAACTCAAGTCATTTACTCTGCCAGGTAGATCAGCCAGGTTGACCTCAGGCTCTCTGGTCGGAACATCATTCCTCTGCTGGGCTCCTGGTCTCATTCCCTTGTCTTCTGCCTTTCTGACCCACCACCTTCTGTTAGTACAGCCATCCTTAACACAGGGCACTACGACTGTTTCTGTGTTAACTAATACAGTAGCCACTAGCTCCGTGTGGCTGTTCAAATTTAATTAAATAAAAAATGCAGTTCCTCAATCACACTAGTCGTATTTCAGTTACTTAGTAGCCATGTGTGGCTGGTGGCCGACACGTTGGACGGCATAGATAGAGAACATTCCTATCATTGCAGAAGGTTCTGTTCAGTGGGGCTGCTCTGGATCTTTCCCAGACACAACCTCATTCTGGTCAGGCCTTCCCAGTAGTCCCTCCAGGTCACCAGTTAGAAATGTGACTTTCCCAGGGTATGGCTCTGTCGTATTTGGGTGATTGATTGCTCAGGTTCTACAGAAGGCAGACCTCCCCCAGTTTGTATACGATGCATTTCTTCAGTTTTGAAGTTGATTTCTTTCTTACTTGTTGGAAGCTAAGTGGGCACTTTTTGGGGTTTGGGGGGTTTTTTGGGGGGGTATAGTTGCTCTACAATGCTGTGTTAGTTTCTGCTGTATGGCGAAGTGAATCAGCTATATGTATATATTTATTCCCTCTTTTTTGGATTTTCTTCCCACTTAGGTCACCACAGAACACTGAGTAGAGTTCCCTGTGCTATACAGTAGGTTCTCATTAGTTATCCGTCTGATACATAGTAGTATATATATGTCAATCCCAATTTCCCAATTCATCCCACATCCCCTTTCCCCCCTTGGTGACCGTAAGTTTATTCTCTACGTCTGTGTCTCTATTTCTGCCTTGCAACCAGGTTCATCTGTACCATTTTTCTAAATTCCCCATATATGCGTTAATATACAGTATTTGTTTTTCTCTTTCTGACTTGCTTCACTCTGTATGACAGTCTGTAGGTCCATCCACGTCTCTACAAGTGACCCAATTTCGGTCCTTTTTGGGCTGAGTGAGTGGGCACTTCTAACTAGGGGTAGAGCCCACGCGGAGCCCAGGCTTCTGCTGGTGGTCTTCTTTGCCTTCTGTCTTTTACGGCAGTGTTTCTCAAACCCCAGTCTTTTACGACCCCTACAAATTTTGCCACGACTGTGTATCACCGGAACTCTTCTTTAACTGAATTC